TGGTCTTTGTTTGGTTTTGTTTGTTGAGTCAGCCCTGAGCATTGATGGTATGCTGGCTGCATGCTTGGCCCTGGGAGGACAAGGTGAAGAAAGATGGGATCTTTCTTCTCTGTTTGCCCAGTCTGTTGGGAAGACAGACACCACTGAGTGCCACATGGTGTGTGGAGTGTTATAACAAGAGTAGGCACATGCCCAGGGCAGCATGGAAGAGGGCATGAGAGGCAGGGAGGGGCTGGGGTACTGTTAAGAGGATGAGTAGACATCAGCTAGACTAGACCAGGAAGGTCAGAGGGAGAAAGGAGCCAAGTTTAGACTAGCTCAGGCAGGTTTGAGGTCGCCTACGCATGCTCGGAGTGAGGGGAAGTCGAGAGACGACAGCCAGAGAGGCAGTCAAGGGCCTGACAGTGGAAAACCTTGCACGCCATCCTAAGAAGTCCTGCAGCAATGGGTTGGCTGCAGGAATTTAATCCAGTGTGCCACTTAGATTTGCATTTTACAAAGAGCATTCATTCTAAGAGCAACACAGAGGATGGACTATGGTCAGGTCCATGCTGCTGTCAGATTTAAAGGGCATGATAGGACCCAGTGGAGGGCAGTGGGGAGGGAGAGTTAGTGCTCATCCCACAATAAGTAGGGAAAGGGTGTGTTATAGAATGTTTGGTGTAACAGTATGAATGGTTTTGGGCTCATGGGGCCTTTGGGACAACTTGCAGCTGCCAGCCTGGAAGTGCTGCGTGTATGTGTGGCTGTGTGTGTCTAATCAGGAGGAACTTGAAGAGAAGCTTTCCTGGAAAAGGTGGGTGTGGTGGGGGAGGCCTGGGGCTACTCAGAGATAGTTCCTGATTGCAGAGGCGGCTTTGAATGTCTTCTCTATGAACCTGTTCTGGCTCTGAGGCATGGGAATAATTTATAATAAACATTCAATCCTCCATCTTATCCAGGCAATTTTTTAAAATCCTAGAAATAATTAGCATTTCACCAGTCTGTGTTTCCAGCACAGACTATGACAGGAAGACTTTAGGATGCAGAGAAAAACTGAAATGTACCAGCCTTGAATTCACTTCTGGTTAAAATTTTTGACCTGCATACTAATATTTCCTGTATTTTCTCTTGCCCAGCTATCTCCCGTGGTTTGAAGTATTTTATAAGCTACTTAACATCTTGGCAGATTACACGACAAAAGGACAGGTATTTGTCTTCTATTCTTTTTAACGAGTAAATTTTAATTACCTTTTATGATTATACAAGTAGTATATGCTGTATATTTCACCAAAATGTTTACCCAAAATGTAATGCATGCTCATCATAGAAAATTTGGGAAATTCAGAAACTAGTAGGAAGGAGAGGGGAAAATTGCTCCTCCATGTTCTGTGCTGCGCCCCCACCCCACCCCCACCCGAATAAGCACCTTGGAATGTTTTCTTCCTTTACTTTTTGAATTAAATATAAATTAGTAGGTCCTTAGCATTCACAGGGTTAATATTCACAATATCTAATAGTTCCAAGCAACCCTAGAAAGTTGTGACATGTATTAAGTTATAATTTTACTGAGGCACAAATCGGAATTGCTCATGTCATGCTGCAAAGCTGGGATTTGTGAGTAAAACACGTAACTGGCGAGGGACCTAGCCAGCTGTCCGAGTTCCCATTTCAGTAAGGCTTTGTTGTGCTTTTCCAGTATTTTTTTTAAGGGTCTGAAAATTAGTTAAGAAGCTCAGCTACATCTTACCATGCTTCTGGAAGAAGCAGCACGCTCAAGTATCTTCCATGGATGCCAAGGGTCAGCTGGAGCTGTAGTTAGACTTCTGTTGCCCACATTTTTACCATATTTTTACCAGGTACCATAATAACCGAAGCATTTCCCCCATGCTGGGAAAATCATGGTAAACATTTTTCATGGCTGCATAGCATTATATCATGAACCTTGATTTACTGAAACATTTTCCTATTGTTGGGAGTTTTTCTTATTTGGGATTTTTTTCATTAATATAATTACAGCCATTAGTATCTTTGAGCATAAAGCATTTTCTTCATTTTGGATTGTTTCCTTAAGAGTAGAATCTCAGATGGGCCTTTGTAAAGTCAATGGACATAAACATTTTTAGAACACTTGCCAAACTGCTTTCCAAAAGAATTGTGCTTTTTCTTTAAAAACACCCTTTACTGGCAATGAGCAGAGTACCTGAGTCACCATACTCTCTCCAGTATTATTTGTTGAGTCTGTTGCTTACTTGAAAAGTGAACAAGTCTCAGTTTCTTTGACTTTTTAGTGAGTTGAATATTTGTCCATATGTCTAACTTCCTATATTTTCCTTTTTGTAAATGGCCTAAGTTTTTAAATTGAAGTGATACGTTATTATTAAATGTTAGAGACATTTTCCCCCTCATGTTTTCTATAGAACACTAATTCTGAGAAATGTCCCATAAAAAGAGTACCATATTCAGTAATATTGGGGTTAGGGAGAGGGAAATCTGAATCAGTAGAAAACAGACAATTGAGGGTTATTCTATAAAATGACTGGTCTCACTGTCAAGTTCATACAAATCTAGGAACAGTAGAAACTGTTCCAGACTGATAAAGACTAGAGAGTTGTAACTAAAGGCATTCTGTGACCCTGAACTGGATTATTTTGCTATGATTGGCAGTTGACAAAACTTGATGGGCTCTGAGGATTAGATGGTAGTGTCGTATCAGTGTTAATTTCCTGATTTTACTGATTAATTGTGGTTATGTAGGGGAATATTCTTTGTATTTCTAGATGATGGGGCAGAATGTTAGCAACTCACTCTCAAATAGCTTGGAAAATAAAAATTTTTGTACTGTTCTACAAATTGTTCTTTAAATTTGAAATTGTTTCAGAGCAAAATAAAACATGTTGCTGCATGCACACATACATTTCTCTCCTTTGTGAGAAACTTTAGTATTTTATCAGTTCAGATTAAAACAGGCTTTTAATCTCAGCCCATCCTGTCTTTTCCTTTCCTTTAAATTCACTACCAAAAACAGCTGCCCCAGCAGCAGAGAGGGCTCTGCTCCTGGCTGAGCACCTTACTAACTGGCTGATTTGAGCCAAGTGGCTTCACCTTTCAGAGCCTCGGTTTCCAATCTGTAAAGTGGGGTAGTTGTGAGGATCGTATAGATTTTAAAAAAGAACACACAGGTGAGCATATTACTAGTATATTAACATAGAGAATGCCACAGGATGGGAGAAGTTGCTTTCGGATAATTCTATAAGTGTTCTTTTGAGCATTTTAAAGGTGAATCTGTTTTCAGTCAGATAATTTGTACTGCTTTGTATTTCATTTCACTAATTAAAATGCACAGCCATCATCCTATATTGCATGCTGTTGTACGTAGTTCATTTTTAACTTTCCATAATTGGAGGCTGCCACGTGTACCCAGTGAACACTCAATAAAATTAATTGAGGGTAATAATGATGAAGACAAGATCTACAGTGTCATTGTTATTTCTCTCCACCACCCCTGCCCTCTAAGCTAGGATTGTTTGCATTTAAAAGTTGTTGCTATGGAGTTGAGAGGATAGATTTGCTGAGAGCTTATGGTACATGATCCATAAAAGGCGGTCATGGTAGGTGTCTCACTGAGTAGAAAATGTCAAACTTGGTGTGGGAGGATCTAGTTGGCTCTTATATTGAGCCATAAGCAGTGTCTTTTGTCCAACCTTACTTAAATATCAAACCTGTTCCTGTACTGGAGCCAGCCCCTCCTCAGCCCCTCAGTCATGAGGACCCCCAGCTTGCTGTGTGCCCAGACCTCCCTGCAGGCTTCTAAGGGCTCAGCCTTGATTTGGTTACTGAGGCCTTTTATTTCTTTCAGGAGAGTCAGTGGAATGAGCTTCTCGAAACTCTGCACAAACTTCCCATCCCTGACCCAGGAGTGTCTGTTCATCTCAGCGTGGTAAGTGGGGCAGAACATCAGTAATCACAGAAAAACCATTTCACTGTGAACAGTAAGAAGGACTTGGCCAAACAGAGTTGTCTTCTGTCATCTGTACCTTCCCCACTCCTATCCCCGGGCACTCTGAGACCTCTGGGTTCAAGGTAGGCCAGGGAGTTGCATTTCTTCACTTCTCTGGGATTCCGTGAGCAATGTGTCCCAAATGCCCCCAGGCTCCTCAGCCCATCACTGGCATCTCCTGTCCTGCCTCACACTTCGCCCCCCCGCATTGCTGTGCATGCCCTTTTGCTGAAGCCCATCTTGCTGTCCCCTGAGCTTTCAACACCACCTCTCCCCTAGTAGGGTACCCCATGTTCACCCTTCAGAAATCAACTCACATTTAATTCTGAGAAATTCTCCCCGACACTGCCTAAGGCTCTGTTACAGTTTTCTTCTTTGTCTCAAGTATCTTGTACACTTAGCAGTACTCAGTCACACCACGCTGGAACGCTCTGTTTTTCTATCTCCCGCCCCCTCCCCCCGGCCAAGGACAGGGATGGAGAGTGCCGGGCATAGTTCCTGGCCTACAGTAACTTTCTTGAACTCTTTCATATACATGCTACACATTCTGTAGTGTGCTAGGGTGAAAAATCCTCTGAACTACAAATTGGAAGATTTCAGTTCCAGTCATAGTTTTGCCCGTGATATGAGTGATATGTGTGCTTCCATATTTCAGTTACTGGAATCCTCTAATTCTCTGGGTCAAACCTGTCACCACCTCCATCAGTATTCTCAGATGGACATCCTTTGGCCAGCTGTTGATCATACAGGGCCTATTTCTACTCTGTTGTGTGGTCTGAACGTTTAAAAAGTTTCATCTTTCAGCTTCACTAGAACCAAGTACAGTGTTGGTACTCAGCAGTTATTATCTTGGTATTTGTTCTCTTAAAGCAAATGGACATATAGGTGTTTTGTTTTTGTGATGATTTAATTGAAAGCACTATTATTAACAACTAATAATAAATCTATTTATTAAGTGCCTCGTTTATGCCAAGTATGCCTCTCTAGTATGCACAACAACTACAAATAGATGTTGGCGTTCCCACTGTATGGATGAGGCATAGAGAGGAAAACGTACTTGCTCCTCCAAGGTTATGTGGTTAATTGGGAGAAGATTGGGGTTTTTAAACTCGGGGCTAACTTCCAAGCCTATGTTCTTTCCACTAGACCGTGAGTGTTGAAAGAAAGGGAGGAAAGAAGGAAGGAAAAAAGGAATTTGTAGAGGTTTTTGCTCATTTTAATAGAGCATAGGAAGGAAAGGAACCTTGTTGCAGAAATTCATGTAAGGAAAACTGTCCTGAAGATGAAATGAGCTTTAAACCTGCCCCAAACATCACCGTACAGCTAAGCCACCTTGCCTTTGCTGCTGTCCCTCTTCCTAAGCAGCTTGATCCCACCACTTCAGTCTGTAATGACACTGGACAGGTAGCTGTGAAGTAGCCTGGCTGGGTCACCAGCTGCTGGGGAGGAAGGGCCACTCCTTCCCCCGAGGGGCTGCCAGGCCTCAAGGACAAACGATCTCAGGGGCAGTAGAAACTGTAGGGAGGGTGCAGCTGTTTCATGCCAGTGGTTTCTAGGAATGTTTCTGACCTCCTCTGGTCCCAGCATTTCATGGGTGATGGAGCAAGACAGAATCTCAAAGGACAGCTTGGTGACTACTTGGTTTGGGAGATGCATTGGCTCACTAGTTACAATCCATTGCGTCTCTAAAGGCAGATTTTTTTTTTCTTTCCTGTTCACAAGGAATTCCTTTCTCCATGTGGCATTTCTGATTTTGAAGCACTAATCTCATCTAGATCAGAAAGCCTGAATTGTTGATAAAATGGCAATTCTGGATGTTTTTTGCCTTTAGTCACAAGAGAGTATTTCTGTGTGTGAAACAGGTGATTGAGAAAGATGGAAATGTAAACTAGCAGTGGAGAGCAACAGTAATAATTTTCTATTAAAATACCACTTATGGAATGCTAGGTACTTCACATATATAACTGTTCTTCATGACGATTCTGAAGTAGATACTATGATTCAGAAACTGAGGTTCTGAGCTATTAAATGAAGTTGGCTTAAAATCACATAGCTGTTAAGTGGTCGGCTTTGTGGTCTGTGTTCTTTCCCCTCACTGTGCCAACCATTATTTTATGACTCCATTCCCATGTGGACATCCATTACTGAGCATTTCCTGGGACTCCCTTCTAGCCATTTGGATAGAAGTTGGTAAATTTGGTGTCAAATTTAATCTTGTATTTTACTTTTATTCTTTTAATCCTTATTGTTAAATTGAATTGTTGACCAGTTTCCGTGCTATACAATTTTTGTTGTAATACTTCATAGATAATATTTTGGCACAGACCACAGACATTGGAATAATGCATTGCGGAGGGTTTTTTTAAAGTTATCTTTTTATATATATATTTTTACTTTTTAGTTTATTATTTTAATTCAGGTGGTTTTAGCTATAATTTGCACATCAGAAGCACAGGTAAAACAGCCTGTTATAGTGGAAAGAGCACAGCTCTAATTATCCAGACCTGGTTTCAGTCCTGGTTCTGTCACCTACAAGCTGTGTGACCTTCACAAGTTACTTCACCTCTCTAAGCCTTAATTTACCTGTTTGCAATGTGAAGATCATTTCTACCTTAAAATTCGTTATGGGAATTAGAGATACTATTTCTAAAGTACTTGGCATAAAGCTTCCAATGTAGCAGGTATTAAATAGATATCTGTTGAATATTAGGCAAACAGCTCATAGTATTATTGTTGTCATTGTCATTATGAAAGTTGTCCCCTGTGCCTTTCATTTTAGGACGATTATACAACTCATTTTTCTAGAGAGCAACTTATTTTGCAATTACCCAAGAATGGTGGGACGGGGGACTTCCTGAAATGTCACCTGGGGGTCCAGGTTTGAACTTAGGCCGTGGCTAAGCTGACCTTTTCTGCATGTGACCTTTCCTGGCCTTTGCACAGTCCTGTCTTTAATTGACCAGCACCAATTCTCTCCATTCCTGCTTGCCATTGTCCTCTGAGCCTTTCGTAGCACAGAGGAGGTATCATCTGTTCACCCTGTTGTCATTTAACTCAGGGACACATGCTTGTTACACACATAGCGATGCTTCCTTGAAAGTTCTTTGAACTGGTCAGGTTTTCAATTCCACTGAGCTGGAGATTGCGCTAGAAGTCAGGAGGCTTATTTGCAGAGCATGCATAGTGGAGAGAAATTCTCCACTGTTAGCCACCTGGAATGGTCTCGGTGCGGCTGTCCTTCAGCTGGAGCTGTCCTTAACATCACTTGGGCCTTTGGGGCAGGTTTTGCCTGCAGCCTATAGATGGATATAATCTCAGATGCTGAAATGAAATGGCAGGTTTGGTTAGTAAAGACCATTGTTGAGTGAACCTAGTGATATCTGGTCCCTAGAGTCCACTTGCCTCATTGAACAATAAATTATGAAGTCCGCAGCTTTCTTGTGTTCAGAAACCTGCAAACATCGTATGGGAATTTAGCCTTTAACCTCTTTGAGTTCATTTATATCTCCCAAAGTAGTTCAGCTCTCATAGAAAAGAACTCCATCTACCAAACCGATGATTTGATGCATCTGGCTTTAATCCGGCATTATCCGAAGAAAATATTCTGTAGACATTTCCAGTGAGTGAAACTGTTTCTGCATCTGAGTAAGGAATTATCTTCAGATCATTCGCCTGATTTCTGAATAATGTGCTTGTTGCATATTTTTGCAAAAATAAATAGCTTTTACTTTTCTTTTCCAGCATTCTTATTTTACTGTGCCTGATACCAGAGAACTTCCCAGCATACCTGAGAATGTGAGTACTTGGGAAGAAAAAATTTAAATTTTTATTATCTTTTGTTTTTAACTTATTTTGAAAAGAAAAAAATATATTTTCCCATTATAAAATAATGCATTATAAAAGCAAAAACAAGTAGAGAATATCTGAAAAGTATCAAAAGTATAAAGATAAGGAGGGATTATTATTCATATTTCTCAAAGGCAATTGCCTATTAACATGCTGACGTCTCATTCTAGTCTTCTTAGACTGTCTTCTTTGCATAGTGAGTCACCTTTCCATAAGCATTTTTCCATCTCACTCGTAAGAATCATTTTGTTGGTTGCATAGTATCCCATTTGCTATATAGTTTACTTCGCTATTTCCTCACTGTTTTGCATATAGGTGGGTTTTAGTTTTTCCTATTATAAGTAAAATGTTTCCATATAGATATTTCTTTATTAGGCTAGATTTACTAAAGTAGAATTATATTTCTACTACATTTCTATATTCATTTTTAAGAGAGTAAAATAAAGTATTTGTGGGTATAAGTGTGGGGACCCCATCTCCATTTCTTAAAGACTTAAAAGCAGTGAACTTGAGTCTGAGGGGGCAGAGGTTAATGTTTGCACTCCGACAGGCTGGATGACAGGCCAAAGATACATTTTCAAAATGTTTTACTCAGATTATAAATAGTGCTATATAGAATTAAATAGAAAATCACCACCACTTAGGCACTTGATTACTTTTTAAAAATTGTGACAAAATATACATAACGTAAAATTTATCATTTTAGTCATCCTTCAGTGTATATTTCATTGTTGTAAACACATTCACATTGTTGTGCAGCCATTACCAATATCCATCCCCTGCACCTTTTCATTTCTTCAACTGAAACTGTATGCATTAAACAGTCCATTAAACAACAACTCTTCACTCCCCCCCTTCTCCCCGGCCCCTGGCAAATACTATTCTTTCTGTCTCTATGAATTCCACTGCTCTAGGCACCTCAGCATACAATATTTGTCCTTTTGTGTCTGGCTAATTTCACTTGGCATAATGCCTTTGTGGTTTGCCCATGTTGCAGCGTGTGTCAGAATTTCCTTTCATACAGTGGAATCATATTTCATAGTATGTATATAATATACTACATTTTGCTCATCCATCAGTGGACACTTGGGTTGTTTCCACCTTTTGGCTGTTGTGAAGAACACTACTACGGACACTGATGTGTAAACATCTGTTTAAGTCCCTGCTTTCAGTTCTTTGGGGTATATACTTGATTACTTTTTTAAAATACTGGAATAGGTGGTATATTTCTCCATAGCTACTACAGATTCACAGGAAGGAAGTTCTTTTAAATGTTTTTTATAGAGCAGACAAATTATAAATGTCAAGTAATCAAGTTTAATTAATGAAGTTTTGTTATTGTAGCTAATGGATCAGAGGCCTGGCTACTTGGGGTTCTTGGGGTAGGAGGTTCTTAAATATCAATATCAGAATCTTTTTGGTTTTCTCTTGCTAGAGAGAGGAAGTTCATTACCATTAAAACATTGAGGCAGTGGGTCATGGAATATCAACATTTAGCATGTATAATTTTATTCAACACCCCCATTTTTTATGTAATGCTTTATCCTCAGTTTTCAGCTACACCTGGTGTACCCCAAGCCTTTCTGGTTTAGTTCCTATAGAAAGTACATGTTTATTTTCCAGAGGGGTGCTGAAACGCCAGTTGACTAGCTGAGTGAGCTGGGAAAGGAGAATCTTGGGATCAAATTACTCTTAATTTTATTGGCACCCTTCTCCTAGCCTTCAGAGGTCTGGTGCCTCGATTCCTGAACCTTTTTGGAGTTCCTTGGTGTGAATTGGCCTTGATACTTGCTACCCTATTTCCTGGCCCCACCCTTAGTGTTCAGCCTTTTCTGGGCCACCAAGTCAGTGTTCTTTAGTTTTTCAACCTCAGTTGGCACTCTTGACAGCTTAGGCCAAATAATTTATTTTATTTGTATTCTTTTATTGATTCTTAGAGGAAGGGAGGGAGAGAGAGGAAAACATCAATGTCAGAGCAAAACATCAATTAGCTGCCTCCTGCACGGCCCCCTACTGGGGATCAAGCCCGAAACTCGGGCATGTGCCATGACTAGGAACTGAACCAGCAACCCCTTGATACATGGAAGGACACCCAACAAACTGAGCCACACCAGCCAGGGTGGGCCAAATAACGTTCTGTTGTGTGGGACTGTCCTTGTACATTGTGGAATGTTTAGCAGCGTTTCTGGCCTCTACCCACTATATGATGAGAGCACCCCCCCCAGCTGTGACAACCAAAAATGTCTCCAGTTATTGCCAAATGTCCCATGGGGACAAATGAACCAAGTTGAGAACCATTTCTTTAGTAACATCCGCTTCCTGGCTTCCAAAATCTTGACATCTTTCTTCCATTACTGTCTCTTCTCTGGTTTTTTTTTTGTGTGTAGGGGGAGCCGGTATGTCTTCTAAAATTCTTCTACTGTGACTTTTCAGGGGGTGGAGGGGCCACATGGTATCAGGAGAGAAAAAAGAGAAATATTTACCATATTTTACTGAAAAATCCCCACTGTGCTTCCCCTACTAATAGACATTTAGATTGTTTCTAAGGCTTTATTATTATAAATAATATTATAGTAACAATTATTGCCTAGGTTTGGTTTTTATTTTTTTTTTTAAGGACTGGGAAAATTTAAAGTACCTGAAAATCTGATAACTTCTTAATTTTCAAATCTACAATTAGAAATAGTTTAGAGGAGAAAAAAAACCGACACCTGTCTTTTTCATAGCCCCACCTCCAATCCCTGTCTGTACTCTGTGCCCCCACCATTTAAAAAACTTTGCATTCTCTTTGCTGTTTCGGCCACTGATGAACCAAGTCCCTGTGCATGACCATTGCCCACTAGATCCTCCTTTGCAAACTGGTAAAAGGCTGGCCTTGTTTGTTTCTAAGCAGGAATAATAACAGCGTTCCAGACTTCTAACATGCTGGTTCCACTTAAATCTTCCCAGCCTCTCTGTGAGAGGTAGATGTGAGCCCCATTGTACACACAGGGACCCATGGTTCACAGGCCTGAGGTTACTAGCCCAAGGCGTGCTCCTAAGCAGAGTGTAGTGACCCAGGTTTGTAAGGAACCAAAGCATTTTGTTTCCATTATGCCCGCCTAC